AAAAGAAAAAGAAAAAAATTTAAAAAGAAAGATAAACCTGTACATAGATCAGGGTCTGATTTTTGACCTCTAGGCGTGTCCTTCAGTTAAGTCCAATGGGGTGCCATGCTCTGACCCCAAAGTCTATCCTTTGCACTCCCTCAGGAGCTCCCTGCTCTGCTCCCCCCATTGCTCTGCTGCACACCTTTAGTGTTTTGCCTCCGTGTTATGGGGTCAGACCGAGCCAGTCCCGACACTGAGTTTCCAGTGTTGTACCCCGTAGGGCCATGGGTCAGTGAGGGACGTTGTGTCTCATTGTGGGATCAGCCATTTGGTCCACTCTGCGCATTGACTGTTCGGAGTGGGGATATGGGCCAGGATGTGCTCCACTCTCTCTTCCTCCCCATTCATTTGCTCCCGTGTGCTCTGATGAGACATGTCCCTCTCACCTAGCTTCAGCTTCAGTGCCATCCTCTAAAGTAAATTCTTCTGGGGGCAGGGGCACTTGTCCACATAGCTGGTATGGGAACTGAACCCTCAGGCCCCTCCACCGGCTCCCCATTCGTATCCTGGAACACCGGATTTAAGTCTGGTCCCTCTCTTTTGTGGTGGAGCTGTTAAAAAAATTTTTTTTTAACCTCAGATTGAATTATTATGTTTTGAGAAATGTGTCCATCTTCCCCTCCCCTAGGTTTTCAAATTTGTGGGAATATATTTCTTTATAGTAACATGGTTTTTATTTTGGTTTGTGATGTATTATTTTTTCTTTTTATTTGGCTCCTATTTCTATTGGTTCTGTTATAACATCCACTTATTTATATTACCGGCAGCGTTTCATAGTATTGGCCTCTTCTTAACCGTCATTACATTTTTCAGTGGTTTATCAGTTTGTAGAATCCTCTCAAAGAGTCAACTTCTACTCTTAATTCTTTGTTATTTCTTTCATTTATTTTTTCTTTAATATTATTATTTGCTTTCTTGTGGTGAATGTAGACATTTATTTATTAGTTTATTTATTGTTCTTTTACTAATTGTTGAAGCGATTTGGTTAAGGGGTTGATTTTGGTTCTTTTCTGATGCATACATTTATTGTGGTAAATTTTTCCAAGCACTGCTTTAATTATCTATCAAAGCTTTTCTCTTTCCATAATTTGAGTAATTTTTAATAATTTAACTTTTTATTTCTTTTATTTTTTAAGCAGGGTATTATTCAGTTTCTCTGTGTTTTATTTTTACCCCTTGTCTCTTGTCCTTCCTGTTGTTACTTCTAATTTTATAATGTGTGGCCCAAGGAGATATTTTGTGGCATTTCAGTGTTTACAATTATTTGGGCATGTTTCATGGTCCAACATATTTTCTATTCAGGACAATGTTCATGTGTACTGGAAAAGAATATATATTCTCTGTGCCTGGAGTGTTCTGCATATGTTTATAAGATCATGTTTATTGAGTGTATTATTTATTTCTGAGTGTTATTTAAATCTGCTTCTATGAGTTGGATTCTATTTGATGGCAGTGAGTTTGGTATGTTTGTTAATTTTTTTTCTGGTTGATATACCCTTCAATGTGCAAATAAAGTGTTAGTGTATCCTGTAACTATTGTGTAGTTGCTAATTTCTCTTCTAAATCTGTTAAATTTGATTTATAAATTGGGTTGGTACAATTTTGTGCTCTTGTTTGATTGACCTTGTAATCACCATATACACAGTGGTCTTCCTTGCCTTTTAGTGTTGGTTTTGATTTTAAAGTATTTCACAAATTATTATTGCCTCTTCTGAGCTTCATTTTTGGTTTCCATTTGCTTGATATATATTTTTGCATCCTTTTGGTTTTTAGTCTACTTTTATGTTTGTTGTCTAAGAAATATCTCATATATAGCCCATATTCATGAATCCTGTTTTGATAATTCTGCTGTTGTCTGTCTCTTGACTACTTCACTTATTTTTGCATTCCAAATACAGTGATACATTGGTTGTCAAAAAGCTCCAAGCTTGAACTTTCTACTAAAACAGCAACATTTGAAAAAACAAACTACTTGATGTTCATAACTTTGATTGATAGTTGAACTGAAAATCCAACTTGAAAAAACCTATGCAGGCTGAGAGTGTCTTGCCTCAGATATAAAGAGGTGATATTTCAGTCTAAGTGCCGTTCTTGCTCAAACAACATATAGTGCTTATATAACGGCATTAAAACATTCAGCATTGTGCTTGTGTGTGTGCTTTATTTGTATAAATTATGGTAACCATGACTCCAAAGAATGTTGGTGACACCAGCAGTAACGCCGAGGAAAACTGAGGACCATGGTAGACTTAAAGAAATAATTTTGAAATTTGAATCAGGTTGCTGCTTGTCTGATTAGGCAGCTGAATATAACTTGTCTAGTTTGGCATTATCAACCTTTTTTGGGGGGGAAACATATAATTAAAGTGGCGAACGTAGCAAAAAGTGAAATTGTTAACTACGAAATAAAGAACCCAGGCCATTGCAGAGGTTGAGAAGTTACTGTGAATTTGGATAAATGAGAAACAACTTGATGGCATTAACAAATCTGAGACAGTGTTAAGCTAGAAGGCTAAAAACCTCCATAGTGAATTTAAAGTATAATTCTTGGGCCTCAGAGCCAATTATTTGGTTTTTCATTATTTCTTATGTGAAAAATATTCCCAGTTCTTGAACTTTTTGGGTTTAGGGTTTAGAACATGAAATTGGACAAACTGAGTTTGCCAACTGAGGTAAAGAAGTTTCAACAGAGCTTCCAAAATAAGAACAGACTAGGAGAAAGGAATCGACTCCCCATTTCTGATATATTAACCATGTGAAAACCTTTGTGAATAACAGTGGAAATCTGTCAAATACTGTGCCAGAGAAGGAGCCCCTTATGTTGGAAGGCACCAAACATATATGGAACCATATGAATGAGGAAAACCTGTCGCCTCAAAGTTGAGTTGATTTTCATGATGTGGATGTAGCAAAGCTTTTGGGCTCTTCATTTGCTGATGGGCTGTAGCTCAAAGTATGTAGAAATAGCTGCAAACATTAATTGATAGTAGGAACATAGAATGCACAAAGTATGGATCTAAGAAAATTAGAAGTTAGAAAAAATGAAATGGATATTGTAGGTATTAATGAGCTGAAAGGGACTGGTATTGGCCATTTTGAGTCTGACAGTTATGGTTTCCTATACAAGGAATGAC